TATCTTATTTCTCCATCAATTTTGAAAGATAGTTTTGCAGGGTACATCAGTCTGGGTTGGAGGCTGTTTTCCTTTAGGGCTTGCAATACATCACTCCACTCCAAGCTTTTCTTGCCTTGAGGGTTTGCATTGAGAAGTCTGCTGTGATTCTGATGGGCTTTCCTTTGTATGTGGTTTCTTTTCTCTCACTGCTTGTAGAATTTTGTTCTTCTGTTGGGTTTCTGCAATCCTATGTGTAGAGTTTTTTTTGATCAAGGCTAGTTGGAGTCCTATATGCCTCACTTATCTGTATGTAAAGTTCTTTTCCCCTACTTGGGAAGTTTTCTGCCATCACTTCTGTGAACAATTTTTTTATGTCATCTGCACTCTCTCCTGTTTCTTCATTGACTCTGATCAGTCTTATGTTATTCTTCTTTGCATCATCTAGCAACTGCTGGATTGCTTTCTCCTGGTCCCTTACAATTTTAAAGCAGTTTTTCTTTTTCTGGTCACTGATTGCAATCTTATCTTCTGTATCTGAAATTCTGTCCTCACATTTGGTTCATTTTGCTGCGTAGACTTTCAGTGGTGTTTTTAATCTCCTGGAAATCTGTTTGTATCTGTTTTATGGATTCCATTTATTTCCTATGTTGGGATTCCATCATGTTCCTCAGCTCCTCAATTTTTTTATGTGTCCTCTCCAGATTTATTAATCATGTCTTGCCCTATGGGCACAATCTCTGCTGTTATGTGAGAAATTATTTCTGATTTCATTTTTTCCAGATCCTCCTTTGTTGCCAGTTCAGGGAGTCCAGGTATTTGATTATCAGATTGTTCCATCTCGTTTCCCTTTGGGGTTGCTGTAGGTGATGTGGAAGTGTGTTTTTGAGGCTTGTTTATGTGTCTTCTCATTTCCTCGAGGTGGGGGTGGGGGTGGGGGTGCTTCTGGTGCCCACGTGGCACACCTCCTTTGCCCTAGGAGTGGTGGAATGGTGGCCAGTGAGCCTCCTCCTGGGCGCTGGGATTGGCTCATCTCCTCTGCCCTGGGAGCAGTGGAATGGCAGCCGGGAGCCACTGAAGTATGATTTTACCACAGGACCTTGCAAATAACTTTTGATACATAAGTCCTTACAGAATTTAAAAAAATGTGCAGTTACATGCATGCATATAATAGCAAAACTAAACAACTAATTTAAGCATATTAATATTCAACCTTAAAGTGACTTTTAGTTTTTTAGTTACTTCTTTTGCGATTTTGTACCTTGAACTGATTCAAAAGGGAGAAAAACACGCTTCAGTGACTGAAGAACATGGTATATGGAATAGTTCCTTTTGAATGGCTTTTGTTTCTCACCAGAAAGTTGGTGGCGAGGTTATTTTAATATATATAGGAGTTGGAGTGGCAACGTTTGAAATAGCTTTTGTTGAATTGTTTATGAAAATCCTGTGAGAAGGCAAGGTGTGGTAGCTCAGGCCTGTAATCTCAGCACTGGGAGACTGAGGGCAGGAGTTCGAGGCCAGCCTGTGCTACATAGTGACTTCAAGGCCAAATTGAAGTACATACTGAGACCCTTCCTCAAAACAATAATGACAACAAAAAGTTCCTATGAGAGGAATCCTGCCAATGAGAAGTTGAACATGCTGTAAGTATCTAGTTCAGGTGAGACAAGTGTGCTTAATGTTGTGCAGTGTGTATGTGGGTAAAAAAGGAGAAGACTTGGAGATAAGATGAATATGTATTTTTGGTAGGGCCACAAAGAGAGACTGTTATACTGCCTAATAACATGCAAATAGATAGTCTTTAAACACAATTGGTTCTTTGCTTCATGCTATACTTTGAGATAAAACTAACAGTTCCCCCCACCCCCAGTCCATTATGGGGAGCCGTTGGAGTTGAAGTAATTGTAGACTCATTCATCAAAAATGATTTTTTCGAGGAAAAAGTTTTTCTGTTGAAGACTACATCATTCATAGAAGCTAGCAAACCAGAAAAGGAGAAAATAAAGACTTGGCTTTTGCTGTTGGTATGAGTTGTAACATTTTAACATTATCTACTTTTGCTTAGAAAGTTAGGTTGCTTAGTAACTGATTTTACTTTTATTTAATTTTCATTATATTTAGGCTAATTCATGTTGTCTTTAATGTTTTTTGTTTGAAGTATTTCTTTTGGAGCATTTGGGAAAATTATACTGTGGAGTTTTGCATTGAATTTTGAGTGTATCTTTTCTTTTTCTTCAGAAATTTCCACACCCAGACCGTCTTCTCCAAGTGGAATACCTGAAGAAGATAGTGTTTTATTTAATAAACTGACCTACTTAGGATGTATGAAAGTTTCTTCTCCAAGGAATGAAGTGGAAGCTTTACGGGCAATGGCAGCCATGAGATCTTCTAGTCAGAACCCCTTTCCTGTTACTCTGTATGTGCCAAATGTTCCAGAAGGTTCTGTGAGGTAAGCTCTTACTTGCTTTTTCTGTAGACATGTATTGAATTTTTTGTGTGATGGTGAGGATGTTATATCATAAATCAGATGTAGGACTTACTGTGAATTCACTTATATCCTATAGACATGCAAAGTAAACCTTATATTTAAGCTTAGCCTGTATTCCTATTTGCAAGAAATATTTGCAAAATTGTGCTTAGGGCTTTATACATAGAAATAAAATGTAAAAATACTTCTAATTTCTATTGCTCATATTGAACATAAAAACATATCTTTAGTCTGTCATATAAAAGTGGCTCAGAAAGCTAAAATAATAGCTAAATTCTAAGTACCAAGCTAATAGCAATATAAATTTTCAAAGTTTGGGTAAAAATGCTTTAGTTTTCCAGGGAAGTATTTTTAAAATATTTATATGTATTTCCTAAAAATATCAAAAGTGGGTCTTCTTATGTTTCTGTTTAGTTTCAATTTATCAACCACACCTTGACACAAAGATTTAGTGTTTTCACTTGCCTGTGTGTACCTGGTAATTGCTTCCCCCCCAGTTTCAGCCCTTCCCTCAGTTTCTCAGTTTGGGATCTTGAAGCTATCCTAAATGTTTAGACTTAGGAGATGTGTAGTGAAAGCCAGAGAATTACTTGCTTCTGAATCTCATGAACTCCTTTCAGCTGTTCTGTTGTTGAGTCTGTTATTGGAGCCACCTGATCCTTCTTGGGGGGGTGAGTAAATTAGTTTTTAGTTACACAAACACAATAGCTTGGGGGTTAGATAAACTTACAGGTGCTGCTTTGAAAAGAAATGGGCTTTCCAGGGATGAGCTGTACTGTTCTATACCAGCATTCCTTTTAATAGAAAAAGACTAGACTTTAGGGGTGAGCAATAATAGATTTTTTTTTTTTGGGTACTGGGGATTGAACTCGGGACCCTGCACTTGTGAGGCAGGCAGTGACATCATTGAGCTAAATCCCTGGCAGGAGCTATAATAGATTTTTAACAGGCGGAGTATAGTTGGCTTTGGAGTACATGAGATGGGCCTTAGGAGACAAAAGAATGAAGAAGTGTTCAAAAGAAAATGAAAAATGTGCGTGTGTGTATGTGCATTCATGTGTGTGACGGTTTTTTCTTGTATTATTAATACCAGTTTAATTTTGTGATTTCAAGGTAGTTACGCTTATGTGGCATATATTGGCATAGTAGAACTATTTGTCTTTGTCTTTATACTTAACATTTTATCCAGTATTTTTGTCATTGTTTTGCAGAATCATTGACCAATCCAGAAATATGGAGATAGCATCTTTTCCAATCTATAAGGTCTTATTCTGTGCACGTGGACATGATGGGACAACAGAGAGCAATTGCTTTGCTTTTACAGAGAGCTCCCTTGGATCAGAAGAATTTCAGATACATGTTTTCTCCTGTGAAATTAAAGAGGCAGTAAGTATACTATATTGTAACAATTTGCTATCAACCTCAATTAAGGTAAAATTTTTGAACTCTTAATTTCCCTGTTGTATAAATACATTATGTAAATTTAGAGTTTTCCTAAACACAAAGTTATTATTTGTGGTGGCATAGAACAGAATATGGAAAACTAAGTGTGATATGTCTGTATACTGAAATGATATTGTAGGTAGGGCACTTTCACAGTTTAGCAGGCGTAATAGAAAAATATTACTTACCGAATTATTATTATTATTATTATTATTATTGGTATCAGGGATCGAACTTGGGATGTTGAGCATGTGAGGCAGGAGGCAGAACCACTGAGCTAAATCCCTGGCCCACTTATTGAATTCTTACCCTACCACTGTAGTAATTGTTTATTCTCAGAAGGGAATATTTTGGCACTTCTCATTATTTTGCTTAGGTAGAAAGGTCCAAGTGATTCAAAAAAGGGCTTGTAACAATACCTATTTTACTAATGGGCCTGATAGTTACATGCTACTTTCACTTAGAAATTGCACTGAAATTGTTCATAGATCCCTGTGGTTTTCTCTGGTGATTATTTGTTTCATGCACAGGCTGGATTTTGCTCTGTAGCATTGGCCTAATTAAAAATATAAATGATCACATAGATCAGGAGTATGACCTTTTGGTCCCCTGAAGATTCCAGTAACTTCTTAGTAATTATTAATTCCTGGTTCATTCTTAGACTGGAGAAATAATTCAGAATCAAATAGCTATAAAATACATGGGGAAATACTCTTTTCTATACTACTGAGTTGCCTGCAAATTAACTTGAATTATTAGTTTAGTACTTGAAACCATTTCAAAGGTATTGATAAATGGGTTTGAACAGGCAAAGTTTCAGGTGTGTTTGCTTTTGAAAATATAAATTGCTGGGCCAGGGATTTAGCTTAGTGGCTTTGTGCCAGCCTTGTAAGTGCAAAGGTCCTGAGTTTGATCCCTGGTACCACACACAGAAAAAGAAAATATAAATTGTCTGCAGGAGATGCTAAAGGCAGCAGTTACTTTAGTCTCCATTTACCATGAAACATAGGTAAATCATTGTATTAATGGGAATTTTGAGAGTTTATTCTAGCCACAAAATGAAAATTTATATACATGTAGATCTTTGTGAGTTTGATATTAAGTATGGAGGGTGTACCAGTTCTTAAGCCCTGGTAATCAGTTTATTTCACACTAAATTGAACATGTGCAGACATATAGTTTAGATTGTAACTGTAGAAATTCCTGTGCCAGAACACATGCCTTGTGTAAGAAGTTCAAGTTTTATGTGTATTATTTTAGATAGGCCTTAATCTGTTTCATCCTAACGCATGCATGCATGCACACATGCACGCACACGTACTGACTTATTCCTCAAAAGGATGTGGTACACAGGAAAGTGAATGAGTACAAGTGTGCTACTAGTGTGTCTGGTATGTAATAGGCATGAATGTAGGTGTGTTGAAAGAATACATGTATTTTTTAATGAGGGGAGCTTGTTTGATCCCTAAAAACTCCGCTACAGAGGTGGGGAAGCAGATGGTAGAGTCCTGGCATTTCATGTTGGCAGCTGCAATTTAACACAACCTGTGTGAATTCTGGATTGCTGGAGCCAGACAACAAGGAAATTAACTTTGAAGAACTGGAGAACCTGCTGCTCAGAGAGATATGAACTCTACTGTAGAAGAATGTTGAAAAGGAACCTGTTGCAAGCAGTTTTCGTAACTTGGATGGTATGAAACTCTCTGAGGATTATAGTATCTACTTATAAGTGGGGAAATGTTATTTTTGAGCTTCAACAGTGTAGGTAAGCAGTGTAAAAAAAACGGGAAATTTTTGACCTATTTTGGATATAGAATGAAATAATATTAATTATATTTCTAGAGAGCATATTCAGTACATTGTAGATTGAGAGAAAAGTATTTTCCATATAGTATTTCTTTTCTTTTCTTTTTTTTTGTACTGGGGATTGAACTTGGGACCTTGTGCTTATGAGGCAGGCGGCAGAACAACTGAGCTAAATCCCCGGCCCATTTCTTTCTTTCTTTTTTTGATAACAGGGATTGAACTGGGGACTTTGCGCTTGCGAGGCAGGCAGCAGAACCACCGAGTTAAATCCCTGGCCCATTATTTCTTTTTTTTGAGTACTATTTTGAAAGTGTTACATTGTAGATCATTGGTGAAATGCATTGTTTCAAGGAGAAATATTTAACCTTGGCCATTAAAAATATTTATGAGACAAAATTTCTAAATGAGGAATAAACAATGTAAATAGTCATCTTATGCAAGGGATTGTGCTGAGCATTTATTTGATACTCAAACTCCAGTGGCATAGGTAGTATTTATTTAGATGAATGACTTATATTCTCTTTGTCTGGAACAGTCTTACTTTACACCTGTTGCTCAGGTATATTATTAAAATCCTTTTGTTTATTCTCAAAAGTGTTCTGGTTTTAATGATAAATTGTATGGTTACGCCCCCTGAGGCTAATGGAATTGGATAATAGCCTTGGGTTTCAAATTGAAGTCTTTGACTCTGAAGAGTTACACATTTTCAGCAACAGCTTTCTTATTTCTTAAATATTATAAAAAGTAAATGTAGATTTTTGTATTTCAATTGTTTTATAAAGACATTCAGCAGCCACATAACTTTTACAGAAGATGTTAACATCTTCCTCTCCAGTCTGAAGTGTTTCAGTTATATTTACTGGTTCCTAGAAGTTTCCTGACTTGTAGTCCTTAGTATTTGAGTCCCTCTTGATGGGGACAAATGATTAGCACAGATAGCTCAGGAACTGTGACACAGATATTCTTATCACTTAGGGATGTGCAGTGCCACTGATTTATTTGTTTTCTTTCTTTTCTTTTTTTTCCCCAGAGTCCTTGGATGATTACTGAAGTGTTTTTTTCCATTAGAGGAAAGATACTTTCTCAAGCAGGAGTTACAACATGGCTGCCACTACCAGCTGTCACTGTGATGCTCTTATTTCACTGTAAAACTCTTCAAGCAGCAAGCACCAACAGTGGTAGAGGGAAGCCTAGGGTGATGGCTGTCTGGGACATCTGTGATATAAAGATTAGAGATACCCATAGAAGGGTCAGGGCACATTTGATTGGTTGTCCTGGTTATTTTTCTGCAGGACCTTGTTGGAGTGAATCTCTGTAACCCAGGACAAAAGAGTTGAAACTCCAAGGGGCCAGAGATTTAGCTCAGTGGTTCCTCCGCCTGCCTCGAAAGCGCAAGGACCTGAGTTTGACCCCTGGAACCAAACTTAAATGTCAGTGATCTATGGACAGGGAGAGTGATGTGTTAGGCTTCTGCTGAACAATTGTAAACAAAACAAAATTTTGGAAATAGTAAAAGAAGCCATGGAAGCCCCTATTCTTGTTGCATCTTTGTAGAGATAAACAAAACTTTTAAATGATACTTTAAAAGTCAGAGTTGACTCCATTTAAGATTTTATTTTTATTAGCCAGTGTAACTACTTTCTTTAAAGCAGATTTTCATGATTTTTTGTGGGTTTTAATATACTTATGTGTATTAGCAACTCTAAATGTTATATTTTAGAACACAGTTTTTCTCATCTGTCATTAAAGGCATTCAGAGATATTTCAAGATAAATATCAGTGATATCATTTGGGACCTTCCCTGGCCCCTTTAATGCACTTTTATTTTGGGTGTGGAGGAGTTTCCCAGTATGGCACTATGTGAAAGAAAACTATTTCTTACATTGAAAAAATAATCCAAGTGGATATTTATTGAGATGGTATTTTGAGTTAGATGCATTATTTTGGAAGTTAATTCAGAAGTTATCTTGTTAATGTTTTCCTTAGGTTGGTTTTTATAATTTAAAAAGTTTCTTGGATAATACATTTTTTTTTTTGGGACCGGAGATGGAACTTGGGTCCTTGCGCTTGCAGGGCCAGCAGCAGCACCACTGAGCTAAATCCCCGGCCCATGGATAATACATTTTTTAGAAGTTTTTTTAGTTTTAGTTCTTTTCAGTGAAATGTATTTGAACAAGTTGGTTTTAAAATTTTAATATATCTTTTAGAATACCTTTCATAGAATTTTTTTCTATATTTATTTCTTGGTTGAACATTTTCTTGATATATGGTACTTGTAAAAGAGTAAGTTATCTTACACCAACCAATATTAATGGATGACTTTATCTTGGAAAAGCTAACTATATTTAATTTAAGTAAATATCTTTGTTATTTAATATAACTGTACTTTTACCATGTAATACATATTTGAAGCTTTGAAAAAGATTGAAATAAAGAAGAGAATAAAAGATGATCAAATTTCTACCACAGTTAAGTTTTTTGCTTATCTCTGTTTCAAATTAGTGCTTGCTGAAGGTACTGTTTTCTGGGAAAAAATGTGTTGTATTATTTCTCAATAAACCTTTGCCTTCTGCAAAGAAATACTCATTCAAGGTCATTTTTGTGTTTTGTATATATTTTAATAACATGACATTTTTTGGAATCTTTGCTGTGAAAAAAAAAATATATATATTTAAATTTTCTTCATGTAATTGGTTATCCAATTTTGTTCTAGAAACCATACATATTGATAATCATTATTTTTGAAATTTAACTTAGCAGTCCTAGATTCACCACCTCAGCCTATTCACAATTTCTAGAATTAAAAAAAGATTTTAACTGTTTTGGTGGAAATAGCAACTTGTAAAACATGGTTAGTATTAAATGAGTTTTGGTTATTGTTAATGAAGTTAAAATACTGTGTGCATTGTTCTCCAAAAGAGAGAAAGGTGCAGTCAGTTTTTTTTCCCATCACCTCTATCACCGTGGCCCAGCCCCGTGTACTTAACTTTTTACAAACAAATTCCTGATGCCTTGCCATCCCCTTTAGAATTTGCTGAATTCTTTGACATTTTTGGTGTGGCCTTCTGATGTGGCAAGCTTGCTGATAGCTCTATCATAAAGAAAATGAAACAGAAGAAAAGATGGGAAAAGAGAAAAAAGAGAATAACATTTCTTGCAGTTTGTCTGTTAACTTACATGCAATTATGTACAGATGGTCCTCTGTTTTCACATATAGTGCTTTAAAAAAATATACTGAGGTTAAAGTAATAAAAAGCAGAGTATAGAGTTCACATTTTTGGGGGTTTGGAAGTGGGGTGTACCCAAACAGCTAAAAGTAGCTTAAAGTCTTTACACTGTACTTTGTAGGTGTAATCTTCAATGGCATATTTCTAGAATGTTCTTTGAGTCTCCTTTCCTTGATAACACTTAAATTATTTGGCTAAGTTCAGTTGGTATGCAGCTCAGGCTACACACTTCTGATTTTGGCTTAGTTTCCTTTTTACCTAACCCAAGCACATTCAGTTTGAGAAATTTTTTTTTTGCATACTGGGCACCAAACTTGGGTCCTTACACTTTCAAAACAGGCTGCGTAACCACTGAGCTAAATCCCCGGCCCCACATTTCAGTTTGTATTGTTGGAGTGTGAGTTCCATGTTCTCTTCTATATCATTAGCACCTAGAATAATACTTTGCATATAGAAGGTGCTTAAAAATTTATTGGGTGAGTGAATTTACCATTGTCTTAAATGTGTAAAATTTGAGGACTACAGTTCTTATTAGTGCTCTTGTTTCAAGCAAATTATAAAATACTGTATGCCTAAATTTGTTATATTCAACAATATTTTTAATTAATGTTATCTAAGATTTGTTACTATTCAGAGCAGTGGCCTTACTGGTACATCTGAATGTGAGGTATTGAACATTATAATCTTTAACTCCTCACATTTCACCTCATTTTTATTATTGAACCTGTGGGTGGGCTGAGAGATTTGGAGAGTCATTTGTGCTTCAAGCACATGAGTTTGAGATGTTCTTTTGGAACCAAGGAAGAGAATGACTGTGGGATTAATAGTACTTTGCTGCTTCAGGGAAAAGGTATATATCTCATTCTTTTTGTATAGTCACTAGAGTGATCTAATTCTAAAGAGTATATTAAGACCACTTCACTATTCATTCTTTCTGGGAATGCTTTAATACTTTGTATCACAACAATGTTGAGTAAAAATGCTGGAAGCTCTTCAGACCATGTTACCATATATGCTTATTGCTAAAACCTGTTATTTGCTTTCATTCTGTGGCTCAATATCTAGCCCTCTGAAATTGAGAGAAGTGAAAAGAAATTGAAGACTTGAGCTAAAACCTTATTTGTGAGTGTTCATTGGGAAGATGTGGATGCTAGTATCATCTTAGTAATGATCTTAGAACCCATTCATTGCAATGTTTTATAGTGTATTTTGAAGCTTAGAGACCTCTATATAGTTTCTTTTGCGAACTTAGTTCATCTTTATTGCCATGTTTAAATGCTAGAGTTGAAAGAACAAGAGTATTTGAAAGATGACTTAAAGAATTCTTTCTTAGTGAAGCCACATTTCTCCATATGAATATACTTGACATAGTTGTATACTTTAGCTGGGCACATATACATAAATTCATTGAACTTAGTTTTCTTATTTACTGTTCTATGAGAGGAACTCATTGATAGCAGGAAACCAATCAAAGTAATGTTAGGAAGCCATCTCTAAAAATCCCTTGACTCAGACCCAAAACTAATTAGTTATGAGCATTTTGGAATTTAATAAACCCTACTGTACTCAGGCCTGTTAGACCTGTTTTATATGATTATTTTGGAGGATCAAATGGTGTGTTGTGTGTAAATGGAGTTTGGACATTAAAAAGGTATATAAGTGTAAAAAAATCATTATTGATTGATAACAGTAAATAATATCTAACCCCTAACAGAGGCATAACCTATTTATGTGTCTGGCACCAAAGAGATACTGCCTGTTTACACTGGGGAGAAACAACTATGATAATAAAGTACTCTTTGATCTACTGAATAAATTTTTCTTGACAAATGATGTGCATATTCTATCTCTCTGGTTTTTTGAAGACAGTCTTGCCTTTTTAGATATTATCTAAGAACCTCTTCAAAGAAAATTTTCAATAATAATGAAATGATCCCCTCTGGTACTGACAGTATTTTTTTCTGGCCAAGCCTCTTGTGTATTTTGTAATGTGAAATGTTCTAAATTATAGTCAAAGACGTCAGCTTAATTGGCTCTGCTGAGTGGGCCTTATCCTCCTTCCTTTTTTCACTCTTAGGAGGCCCAGATTCTAGTTGCAGCTCCTAAATGTTAATTTTCTTACTGTTTATAATGTTTGTACTGGTGGTGCTTGCTGTAGAATTTTGTCTTAAGTTTGGAAACAAATCTCATATTTGAACTCAAGTTTCTTTAAAATGAAGTGATGTCCTAATATTAATGTAAGAAAGTTAAACATTAATTTACCATTTGAGGGAACTTGAAATGTTATCCCTTCATGTGGATAGTGGTCTTTACATTGTAATAATTTAGAGTTAGAGTGGCTTATATTTACCATATACAATTGCTTACCCCTTCTTAAGGCATAAGTGATGAAAATTTTTAAATGCAGTATTTAGACAACTGTCAGATGCTTAGAGTAAATATACCTTAATAAAGATATATTCATGGATAGGGTATCATAATGCAGTTAAAACTTACGCCTAATGGCATTTCTATTTTTATTCTTTTAGGTAAGCAGAATTTTATATAGTTTCTGTACGGCATTTAAACGTTCTTCCAGACAAGTGTCTGATGTTAAGGACTTGATTATTCCTACCCCCGACAGTGATGTGTTTACCTTCAGTGTTTCTCTGGAGGTAAAAGAAGATGATGGAAAAGGAAACTTTAGGTGAGGTTATTTGAAAATAATAAGAATTAGCATGTGTCTCAAATATAATGTTGGCTAATACAAAATTTCTAGAAATTAGATAAATGTTGGCATAAAGCTTTAAAATGGTAATAAAATACTTGGCTGGTAAATTAATATTTACTGTTTTCATGTCTTTTGGATATTTAGATGATTTTCTTAATGATTTAAAAAATGTATCATACATGCATATATGGAAATGTCACAATGAAACCCATTACTTGTGTTATTAATGTGTTATAGAAAAGAAAATTACTATAAAATAAAACGCTTCTATTTATTATAGAAAATTTAGTAAAATAATGAAAATAGAATAAACTGTAATCTTGCCAGCTATAGATAATCACTTTTAACATTTAATTTATTCTTTGTTTATTTCTAGAGGTCATTTTGCATAATTGTAGTTACAGTTTTTTTTCTTTATGATGTAAGAATTTGTAAAAATGTGCGTACTCAAAATCATTGCTAATAGTTACTGATAGTATATTATATGGCTTGAGCATCATTTAATCAATCATTTTTTATTATACATTTAAAATTTTTTCCCAGTTTAGAAATAGACAGTAGAAGGCAGTTATATTGTTACCTGTATTCTTTAAATGTGCCTTTCATTTAACAATATTGCTAGGTAGGCTTTTTTAAAAAAACTGGTACATGTTTGCAGTACATAACAATTACATTCATTGTGGGAAGTTGGTGCATGTACGTAACATACCTTAATTCTTTTTCTTTCCCCTTTCCTTCCCTTCCCTTCCCCTTTCCGTCTGTCTCTAGATTCCCTTCCCATTTGGAAAAGATCTATCTCTCTGTTTCCCATTGTCTGTCTTTTATTTTGCTCTTTACATCTACAGTACTTCAGGTTTCTCATGTAAGAGAAGCCATGTGATAATTTAAGTTTGTGCTCTGACTTCACTTAAATCATGATCTCAAGGTGCATCCATTTTTCTACCAAGTGTGTGTAGAAATTGAATTTCATGGGTCATAAGTTGCTCAAGGTAATTTTCCTTTTCAAATATGACAATTCATTATTTATTTATTTATTATTTATTGGTACCAGGGATCGAACTCGGGTCCTTGCGCTCGTGAGGCAGGAGGTGGAACCACTGAGCTAAATCCTCGGCCCTAACAATTCATATTTTAGATACTTGTTTTGATGAACTAATTCATTGCAAGAATACTCAGTTTCACTTAATTTGGATTTGATTAATTTGCCATAACCTGTATCTCATTACATCTGATTTATATTTACTTAGATTTATCACATTTGCCTCAAGTTTTAGGTGTCTAAAAGTAAGATTTAATTCTCTCTGTTTTTGCCTTGAGTTTCCTTATTTTATGGGTACTCATGACTACTCAACCAGGTAAATGAGAAATGTGATAGTCATTAAAAAAAAAATGAAGTGAACCTTGAAAATGAAATAAAACTTGTATTATTGGCATCATTTCAGATCTTGGTTTTGAGATAAAATATATGGCTTTTGTAAGTCCAAATTAAAAATTAATAGAAATTCTGTGTTGCTGACTACAAAATTCATAGTTTGCTACCTATGGCAAAGTGAGAGTTTAGTACATCTTAAGAATTGGAATGTAAGGCCTGGGGTTTAGCTCAGTGGTTCTACTGTCTGCCTCACAAGGGCAAGGTCCCAAGTTCAATCCCTGGTACCAAAAAAAAAAAAAAGAGAATTGGAATATTGTTGCATATATAATTTGTTGTCCTGTTCTAAGCTTGGAAGAGATTAATCATTTTATTGTATCATTTATTTAATCAGATTATATTGATAATTCTTGCTCTTTTTGAATATTTCAGTCCTGTGCCTAAGGATAGAGATAAATTTTATTTCAAATTAAAACAAGGAATAGAGAAGAAGGTTGTGATCACAGTGCAACAACTTTCTAACAAAGAATTAGCTATTGAAAGGTAAGCAGCTGTCTCCTAAATGCTACTAAAAACTTGTATTGACCTGTTTCAAAAGGTGTATAATTGAACCCCACCCCCCCCTTACCCATTGTGGCTTTTCACCAGTTCAGTTTATCCAGTTAAAAATAAGGATGAGAATAACAATGCAGTCTCCACTTTAAGTTAAATGTAGCAGATTCACTACAAATTTCAGTTGATGGGGGAAATAAACATGAAATGACTTAGCTTTTAAGTAACAACAGCTTCAAATTTTTGTTCACAGCTCTTTTTCCTGCTGTCTCTTATTTACATTTAGTTTATATTTCATTTTAGTTTCTGGAGTTTTAAAATCTTAAAAATATACTTAAAAAAATCTGTACGGGGAGTAAGTTTAGGGGTGGTGTACCACTTGAGGTACATCCCTAACCCTTTTTGATTTTTGTTTTGAGATAGTGTCTTGCTAAGTTGCCCAGGCAGGACTCATGCCTCAGGCTCCTTTTTGACTCAGCTTCCCTTATTTTGAGGACATATTTAAAAAATATATAAATACAAGTGTGTGTGTGTGTGTGTGTGTGTGTGTGTGTGTGTGTATGTGTGTGTGTGTTACTTCAGGTTGCAACCTGAGCCTTGTGCATGTTAGGCAAGTGCTCTAGTGCTAAGCTACATCCTCAGCATTTAAAATTTTTATTTTGATGCAGGGTTTCACTAAGTTATCCAGTTATAGCCTCAAGTTGTAATCCCCCTGCCTCAGCCTCCTGGTAGCTGGGATTAGGTGTGTGCACCACTGTGCCTGGTGATGATGTTATAGTTGTCACCTTTCTTTTTCTTAGTTGTATAATAAATAGTGTTGAGTCTTAAAATCGATAAAAATAAGTAGTTGGAGAGAAAAAGTACTCTTGATGTTGAATATCCTAGTCCTAAAAGAATGTGATTAGATTTATATACCAACTTTTTAATTAAAATATTGGCTAGCATTAGATATATCTGTTTTACTTTTTCAAATTTGGAAGTAATTTCAAAGTTAAAAGTTAAAATAAAAGTAGTACCTATTGAGACTACTTGTATACTTTTTAATAAAATTTACTTACTGGTAATTTTGTTCCTCATTTGCTTTGTGCTCCCCCTTCTTACCTACACACACACACACACACACACACGTTTTTCTGAACAGTTTAAGAATATGTTACATACAGTAGGCCCCTAATATACCCCTAAATACCTCAATGTGCATTTTCTAATAATGAGGAATCACTTACATAGTATCCTTATCAACTTCAGTGAGTTTCGTATTTACTAAATTCACTGAACTCTACTTTTTCTTAAATCTACTCTGTCTGCCAATTTTGTCAGTTAATCCAATAATATCCCTTTTCTTCCTCCAGTTTAGAATTTATCCTATCATCAGATACTGTATTTAGTTGCCATGTGCCTTTAGCTTTCTTTAATTTGGGACATTTCCATAGCCTTTCTCTGTCTTTTAAGACAAGAAATATAATAAAAAACATATTTCTTTCCCCTCTTTTTTTATATAACATTGTTCATTTCATGTTTGTCCAGTATTTCCTCATGGTTAGATTCAGATTGTGGGTTACTCTGTGGGTAATATTGTATACTTTCCAAGATAGCACTTCTGAAGATGCTTGATCGTCATCTGTCCCTTGCTGGTGATACTAATTTTTTTTGGTACCAGAGATTGAACTCAGGTCCTTGCGCTTGCACAGCAAGCAACGAAACCACTGAGCTAAATCCCTGGTCCAAATGGTGATACTAATTTTGAAAACCCTGAAAAATGTCTGATTCCTTCACTGTTTACTTTTTTTCTTGAATCTAGTAAGTGACCTGAGGGGAAATACTTTTAAGACTACAAAATATATTGCTTCTCATCAAAATTTCCTCCTCGACTTAGGTTTCATTCATGAGTCTTATCTGATTCTACTTTATTATGGTGACCACAAAATGATAACTTTCTACTGCTTGCACTCTCTCTTCCTTGCCAGTCAGTCCTTGGCATTCTGATGTGAAGAAGAGCTTTCCTTTCTCTCCCACAAGTTACCTACTTATTATTGGTTATAGACTCTTGAATTTCATATTTTTCTCAGTGATTTATAATTTACTATAGTACTTAGTTATTTTGGCAGTCAGATACCTGAAAATTAGCTAGTGGGTGCACTTTCAAACCCTGTGTCCTTTTGACATTTCTTGTGCATTTCCTTTCTGACATAGCAAAAACAAACAAAAAACACTAACACCCAGCTTTCAATTTAATAAGTCTGTGGTAACACATGCAATGAAGTAAGTATTAGGTGTTGGTTTGAATAATTTAGTTTTAAAGACATATTATTTTTATTTTTTAATTTTTCTTTTGGTACTGGGGATCAAACTTGGGACCTTGCACTTGCGAGGCAGGCAGTGGAACCACTGAGCTAAATCCCCGGTCCATAAATATTATTTTTAAATATTAGAGTTTTATGATTAAATAGTATGTTATCAATGAGCTATGCCTGAAAATAAAGCAATTATTTTTTAATCAATTTTTTTAATCAATTATTTTTTACACCGTGAATTCCAAGTTTGATTAATTTGAGTATAGAAATATTGACAAATATAGGTGGAAGAGTGCTTAACTATATTTTGTTTACTAACTTGGTTAAACATTTAGACATACATTTAAATATACATTTTTATAGTAACTTAGGATGTTATTTTTTGACTACTTTTATATTTCATAAAATATTCAGATTCTTCCCATTAATCTTTAGTATTATTGTCTTCATTATCACTTAACCTACTTCAAAAAATATTATAATTAGTAGTACATATTAGTTGTACAAAATAATGTTTCTTTTGTAATATTTTCATACATTTAAACTACTTTTTGAATAATTTTCCCAGAGCATAGACATTTGTCCAGACAACATTACAGTGAAACTCGATTCATTCCAGATTTGTGTTCGAACACCAAAACGTTCAAGAACTGAAAATATTTTTCCCAGAAGAAATAATGGAAAACCACATAATTGGTTCTGAGACCCCAAAATTACACTTATAAATTCATTTTTCCAGGGCTTTAACACATTTCACAGTGATTTCTTTAACTCTGTTGTGGTTCTCACATATTTCTTCTTAGCTTTACTGATGGTGTCACTAACTTTCTTTGGAGCCATGGTTATATTGGACACAAAAAAAGTGCAGAAAAAAAAAAGCACAGTGATTGATGAATGTTTGAACTCACTAACACAAGCACTGTATGATGTCTAGGCGAGAGCAGTGCCTCCAGTGAAGCATCAGCCTTTGTGTCTGCAGCGAGATACACCCCGTGACTCACACTTGGCCCTTACAGGTGTTTTCAAGTCGGATGTTTGATTCGACTATTGAGCAAAGTTAATGAACACTGAGCAGGTTGTTTTCCAACTTTGTTGTTTGAATAGTGGAAAGTTCAAGCTTGGAGCAATTGGACAACCGAGCTATCACTGTATTTCAACTTTTGCCTAAGTTATTTGCGACAAACCTCTTTTTGAAACAAACCTCTTTTTGGAAAAGTACTGTACATGTTGCTATCATTAGAAATTTTCGAAGATACAAGTACCCACTTACATGCATTGTTTTAAAAATTAATTTCTTATAACCATTTACTATATTGCTTTACATAGTTTTAGTTTTTAAAAATTGGTAAAATTTCATATATTTATTGTATTTATGTTGTTTTGAAATTTGTATGCATTGTACAATGGCTAAATTATGTTACTTTGATTTTAATATAACTATTTTGTTGATAATGTCTAACACTTGCAAGTCTGGGTTCTTATATTCAGCAGTAATTACTAAATTCAGGTTAAATTTCTTTGCTTCCTTTTTTCACTGACTCTGTCAGATGATGTCAGCATTGACTAGTGAGTTTTGGCCAAACAGTACTTTGGTTTAACAAACAGAATTACCTGTGATGTGAGAAATGTTATAAATACTCATATTTATCTATTGTGGAGAAAAAATTTTTGCATTTTATTATGTTAATTGTGATATTTAATGTATTTAAATTACAAACTGTAAATTGTGGAATTTAAGAGATCCAGTAGGTGGCAATCTTATCAAGAGAATTCTTAGTAACTCTTCATCTTAACACTTGTCTACAAAGTTAGTGTATAGTATAAAGATGTTGTTTAAAGAAAATCCTTCAAATCATATGTTTAGGTCTGTCTTCTGTAGGTGAAATTGGAACTTATCATTTAAAACTTTATTACATCATACAAAAAAGCACAATAATACATTGAACCTCAGTATACCCGTTACCTATATGGAATACTAATTATTAGTATTTTGTTTTTTTAAAAAAAATTTTTTTTTCTGGACTGGAGATTGAACTCAGGACCTCGAGCTTTCCAGGCAGGTGCTGTGCAGCTGAGCTAAATCCCTGGCTCAAAAATTTTTTTATTATAGAAGCATGTCTGTGTGCATTCATAGTTTCAGGGATACCTCATATATTGATCCTTGAAATATTAAACTGCAGTTGTCTGTCTCAACTCCTTTGTAGGGAGTTACTGTGTTATTTATCTCAGCATCTAGCACAGTGCTTGCAGTAAAGGGCTCCATAATTAACTACTTCATCCTTAGCATTTTCTCTGTGCTCAATACTGCTCTACCAATGAAATGTAGATATTACTATCTTTGTTGAAATGTTAACCCTTCTTTTAACATTCCAGTTGAAAGAGAAAAATGAGTGTTATAGGCTGCTTCATATTTTGTGTTGTAACTGATGCTCACTTGAGTTTATAGCTAACTGAGGTGGCGTTAGCAGTGGGACTCTGAGGAGAGCAGGATGGATTCATTTCCCTTAGTACCCTGTATGTGTTTACCAATAGGGGGGCTCTCTGCATTTCTTCTCTTCTCTTCTCTTCTCTTCTCTTCTCTTCTCTTCTCTTTTCTTTTCTTTTTTTTGGCCCTGGGGATCGAACTCAGTACCTTACGCTTGTGAGGCAGGCGCCAGAACCACTGAGCTAAATCCCCGGCCTTGTGCATTTCTTTTA